CGTTTGAATGGCGTTTTTTGAATTTTTCAAACCAGCCATTGCTAGCCACGAATTTAACACTGGTTTCATCAGCCGACGACTGTCCCATTTGTTTTAAATAATCAAATATTTTTAAGGCTTTGTGTTTAATTGCACTTTTATTTAAAGGCAACCGTTTCTTGTTCATATCTTCTACTCATAATATTAGCGCTTGTTCCATTTTTTTTTTTTTTGTCATTATAGGTGATCTCGGACGAGCAACAATTTTCGCAAGAATAAATGATCCAGATGCGACTGAATTCCTAATCTTTTCTTCCTATTGCTTAATCGACCGAATAGTTGACTCATTTAAATTAAAATGCCTACCAATATCAGCTATCCGCTCTTGATTTTTAATTTGATCCAAAATTTCTATCTTTGTTTGAAGAGATATATTAATAAATTTCCTTTCTAATGACTGTCGTTTCTTTTCATTCGACATTGTTATGGCTAAAATTTTTTCAAGCAGTTTTGTGGACAATAAAAATCGCAAAAAATAACCTCCCTTCACTATGTTCTTAAAAATATACACCCAATAAAAGTTTATACTGTATTTTGGACCATTTTTGTGGTCCCCACCAATTGAAAGAGTATAAATTATTGAAAATTCAATGATATATTTGAGTGTTTATGGTAATTGATGCACATCTGTCTAGATATCGGTCTTCCAATGAAACTTTCATGGGAATAACACGTCAACGTGGACAAACAGCTGTTGTCAAGGACATTTAGCTCTGTACACCGAAATGCGGTGCATATTACATGATCCGTTGCGATTTTTCTGTTATGTAAAAGATAATTTGTTTCTAAATACCGTAAACCGCATTGTAAGAAAATTACCGCATTTTTCCAACCGTGTTGGAGCGAAAACGTGTTGTAGGAGGCCTACCTGTATTCCATTTTGTCTAAAAAAAAGCATTATACAAAGTGATTGAAAAGTCATGCACATATGTTGGGAATCAATTTTATTTTGTGAGGTTAATGTACAAAAATACAAAGGTAGTAAAAACAAATTTATAATCTGATCTTTAAGAAAAACAAAATTAAACCATATTATTAAAACATATGTTCAAAATGTTCTCCTCATTCATGAGTGCAGGCAAAAGTTATTTTTGTTGTGTTTGGTTCCATCTTGTAAAACAGATGCCAGCAATCACTGTTATAATGTTCCTCTTTAGTTCATCTATTGTGTGTAGATTGTTTTTATACTTAGTTTCTTTGAGGTATTCCCTACGGAAAAAAATCTGGGGATGACAAATCTGGTGATTACGTGGGCCATGATCCTTTAGAAATGAGACTGTTGCCAAGGAATTATTTTAAGAACTGCAGAATCTGGATATTTCTGAAACTCATCTGCAACACATACATAAGAGTGACTGGCAAAATAATGCTTAACAGTGAAAATCTGTTGTTCCTGGAAAGAAATCATCTCACTTTTTCTATGAACAAAACCATACTGTGGCCAATTTTATGACTTTCACACAAAAGTCAAAGTTTTTATTAATGGTTAGCAGTCACTATAGTGTCATCTTGTGGTGGGAGACAAAAATAACTTGATACAATTTACACAAACTAATATTTTGACATGTTCAACTTTTTGATCACCTTGTATAATTGAATTTAAAAGCACAAACACTGCCAAATAAACTAAGAACTATACAAATACAGTGTAACAAAAGTGAATTTCTGTGATAGATCCTTTATTAATACTATATAGAGAAACTTTGTTTTATAATACATTGTGAGCATTTACAACTTTTTGAAAATTATTTATTTTATCATTAAATAATACTAATTTAAAATAATATAATGATAAAAATAATAATTTTAATATCATAATAATAAAGTAATAAAATTATATTTTGTTTTAGTTAATAATAAATCTGGAACAGATAAACTTCAGTCTCCACAAAAATCACAGCAACAGGTTTCTGAAGGAGGCGATACTGATTCTGATATTCCTAAAAATGGGACAATTGATGATTTATTAATAGCCAGTGAAATTGCAGTTGATACTGATACAACTAGAATCAGTTTAGATGACGAATTAAGGTAAGCAATAAAATTTTGTTAAATCAGTTTTGTAATTTTTTTTTAATTTTTATTTTATGGTTGGTTAGGTTTTTATTTTTCTTTCTTTATGGAAATATCATACTTAACACAAATCTGTAATGTGTTTTATATTTGTTGAGGTGAATGTGCCTTGGTCTCTTCCTGCAGAACATCTGGCATTTGTTTTACAATGGTCTTCAAAAGGGTGGTCTTCAGAATGACCACCTGATTGTTCTGTTGAAGAATTTTGAACTTTTGTGGAGGGAAATCTCTCTCTCCTTCTTTTTAGAATTAAATTTCAGTTTATTAACATTAAATATCACACATTTGTTCCAATACAACACAAAAATATTTAAATTTATTATTTTGAAGGGATTAGTCAAACAGTTTGACTTATTTGAATAAAAAAATTTGAAAAAATAATTTTTAATTTTTCAAATTATAATTAAATTGATTATTAATTAGTATTTAATTTAATCCTGGCTGAAAATGATCTGAATTTCAGGTATGTTTGGATATTAAACATCAGACTATGGTTTATTATTCATTTATGTTTAGTAAATAACATAGTAACAACTTCAGTTATTGGAAGAAACTGAATCATGACTTCTAGGTCATTCTGAATATCTCTAGCATGTAAAAATAATTTAACTTAAAATTCTGTTAAACTTTCTTTTTTTGTTTTCTTATTTGTTCAGTTCATTCAGTTTAAAAGAAATAACACAATAATCAAGAAATTACAGAAATATTAAATAAATTAGGTAATGGAAGATCTTCAAAATTACAAAGTCTAGCCTTCTATACAAAATATTTAATAAAAATATACAAAATATATATAAAAATTCAATATTTTTATTTAAAAACTTTTTATCTCATCCTTTGTGGTTTTTAGATATTATTGTTACTTTCCTGGCTGTTATATGTAACAGATGGAAAGTATGGTAATTGGTCAAAAAATGACCCCCTACAAGATGTTTTTGGACTCTGGACCTTGAAATGTTAAGAAATGCAAAAAAATTTGAGGCTTTTTCTGTATTTACGAATATTAGTATGTGCATGGGTGGGTGGCACAAGTTCATCCACTTTGAACTTCAGTGTTTTTTGTCAAAAATTTTGAAATTTTGCATGGAGGTTTTTGTATTAGGGGAATTGATGCTATTAAATTTTGGTGGTTGAAGGTTGACATGCTGGGAGATAAAGAGGGGGTCGTGTGTCATATCTTGAGTAGGGTTGGACTTAATGACTATTTTACTTGTTATTAGCGTTTACAGTTTTTTTATAAAACCCATCCCTACCCTCAAAATTAAGTTTTTTGCAATTTTATAATAGTTAAAAATATAAAAAGGTTTTAATAATAAAATATTATAACAGATGGCATTACATGGGCAGTTTTAAATGTTGAAAGTTAAACAAGTTGTTGCTGGATTTATTATCATCTGATTATCACTGTTTTAGTTTAAATAAATTGGAAATAGTTTCAAGAATTTTTAAATTTAAAATATTAAATCTTTAATAAACAATGATGCAAATATGTGTGTTAAATGAATTGAATAAATTACATTGGAAATTATTTTGTTAACTAAAAATAACTTTTAATATATTGTTGATGTGTTTTCTTTCATCTTTAAAGAAATCTTTAAGCTTTCTGATAAATAAAATGCACATTTTATTTTTATGATTCTATGAAAAAGTACAAATAATTCAAGAATTTTGTAAAACATCATTAACATTAAATTATATTCTTAACATTAAATAAACATTAAATAATTATATATTCTTGTATTTTAATTTTAATAAATTTTATTTTAGTGGAGGTCGTACTTCTCCGTCCACAAGAGAAGCTATTCAGGGTATGCTTTTTATGAGTAAGAGTGCCTTCCATTTTTCAAATCCTGCCATTCCTCCAAACAGTACTACTAATCCATCATTAGATAAAGAAGGGTCTCTTGCATCACTTGTAGATAGTCATCCAAATAATTTTTCTATATTAAGTAAAAAGTCTCCTGTAGCTTCTAATAAAAATTTACCAGGAACACAGTATAGCAGGTTTAGAAGGAGGTTTGATGAAGATGATGACTTTGAAGAGAGTTTAAAACAATGTCATCAAGATGGCGAATTCAGTAAGTAAAAACTTATTTCTACTAAGCATTTACGTATATAAATAATGAATATATTTTGCATAATGTAGTTAAAACATATTCACTAGATTAAAGTAGGAGAAATCTATTAATTAATAACCTATTACTAATACTCCCTCTACAAAAGAAAATATGCTTGGTGAAGTCAACTTTTTGTTGTTTAATTCCAGAAATATGAAGCGAGGAATGTGTGAATAGAACAAAGAATATATTCTAGAAATTATGTTACCAAAATTCATTTATATATTGCTTCTTTTTATCAGAAAGAAAGTAACATATAAATGATATTTGCTCTGTATTCAGGTGTTTTGGTATTCATTAAAAAAATTTAAATGAAAGGAAACTTTATTATTAAAATAATTGTGATTTTATTGGCAATTATAAAATTCTAGGTTAGATATTTACTAATTAGGTAATTTATTAATAATTTAAAATTATCTGTTTTTCAATTAGTATATTTGGGATTAGAAGCCTCTGATGATGAAATTCATGTTTTTAAACCAAGAGGTCGAACTAAGAGAGATGAACCTTGGAATCCAAAGGGTAATTAACATTTAATGTAATATTGTTTAATTATCATTAGTGATTTTGTATGTATGTATATGTATATATATATATATTGATACTATCATGTTTATAATATTACAAGTAATGTGATGCTGAACAACATATTGATAGATGGCATTTGTGAATTACGATAAAAACATTAGAAGCTTGGCATATTTGTGTGTTTGTGGAGGGTCATCAACTCTGATGCCTCGTCAAGACTGCCACCACCGTGTCTCATTTGACATGGAAACCGCAACAGCGAAATGGTTTTGTTCTTTTTTGAGAGTAAGTCATGTGAGTGGCCATGTGAGAAAGCAATCAGGTTCTGGATGGAGACTGTGAGACAGCATGACAGAAGTAATGCACTCAGACACTAAAGTTAACATCTAAATAATTATTTAATTTCAACAGAAAGGAGTACATGATACATATATCGTGTTATATCGGCTTAGCCTATCTATCTTATCTAGCAGTCATGAGAGAGAGTTTACAATTGTTTGCAAGTTGGTAAATACCTGGGGTTGATGGTGATGCTCCTTGATTAGGATTTTGAGGTGACTAGGATGTATAGGGTCTTGAGGTTGTCTGGATTAGGATCATTTGAGAAAAGTCTGGATCAAGATCAATTGGGAAAGTTTGTCTTCAAAGGCACAGTTGAGCAAGGGAAATGTAAAAATCCAATAGACCACTTACACAGAAAATTTTTGATGATTTTAATCCTAGAGGAACAGGTGATGACTGTCTTGACTGCCCATTAGTTGTTATATTAAAATGATGAAATCCAGAGAGCAGGTTCAAGGTTACAAGAAAGTGTCACTTTTTACACTGAGAACTTAAACAACTATGGGCTCTCAGGTGTGAAAGTTGGTAGTTATTGGACAAAGTTGTATTGCCAAGACATTATGTTGTGAGTTTAGATTCTCTCACTTGTATGTTCATTTAACAGTAAATTTCTTTGATTTTTTTTTTAAGTGATAGAATCTGTGTTTTGTTTAATTTTCTTACTTTCAAATATTACAGTGTACAATCTTATTACATCAACTGAAATTTGCTGAGAGAGAATTCTTTACTTAATGAACTTTTCAACCTATTACCGTAGACCATCTTCAGGTTTTGAACTAAATTTTTAAAAAATAGTTTCAAAAATAGAATATTTTGTTTTGAATTTTTACATTTAAACTATTTTAAGAATAAATTTAAAATTCTGCAAATTAAATAAATAAATTATGAAAAATATGAGGTTATAAAAAAAGATTAGGACATTGAAAACCCTTGTTGTGTGTTTCCCTATAATCAACTTTGAGTTTACTTTTATGTTATACTTTTTAATTTTTGTTTTATATTTTCTTAATTTTATTTTTATTTTGTTGAGCATATGCTTTTCATAATTTATTTAATTAATTCAATTTTANTATACTATTGTAAATAACATTATAATTAAATATAATTAATAAAAACTTGAAAATGTTTATTTTTAGAAATTTTTAAAAATTTATTAAATAATTTATTTATAGAACTTCTAAATTGAAATGCTAGCTTTTAAGCTTTTGCTCTCATTTTTCATTACGTGATTTAAAATATCTAATTTATAATTTGTAAAATGGAATTAACATAATTCATTTCAATAGTGATTTTTTAAAGTGCTTTAAGGATTCATTTAGTTTTCTGCCAATTTTTTTTTCTGTTCAAAAACCTTTTATTTACAACTAATAATTAACTGCATATGTGTAAAATTAACTTTACAGATCTTTCTCTAGCATACAAAAATTCAAATATATTAGAGAATACGTCATTTATTTTACAACTGTTTAGTTTTATTTCATGATTATAGATATTTCTTATTGTATGCAGTCTAACTATTTCACTATTACACAATTTTAAAAAATCAAAAGAATTAAATAAAATTATTCTATTAAACATTAATAAATTTTTAAATTATAGCAGTTGATACAATTTTTTAAATTTAGTTAAAAATCTGATAATGGCCTATGATAATAGGTTAAAAACATTTGTTAAATAAAGAATTTTCTCTCAGCAAATGTCAGGCAATGTAATAAGATTGTTCTCTCTCTTTCTCTCTCTCCTTAGTTTGCTTGGTATATATTTTAGTCGTTATTAACAGTAAATATTTGTTTAAATTTGAATGACTGTCCTGAAACATATTTGTCTGATCTGTCAAATAAGCATTTTAAGCATTCATTTGTTAGATTTTGTGCGTACTTGTGCTTAACAGGACATTAGTCAATTGATTTAATCCGATTTGTGTTTACATCGTAATATTAGTTTTAATTTTTATTAAATCATATTAAACACGTGTATAAAGATGTGTATTAAACATATTCATTGTAATATTAAGCATGTGTGAGTTACAAAATAAAATATCGATTTCACTGAAAAAAGTAGTAAAAATGACGGGTATCCTGTTAAGCACAGAGTACTGATTTTGTTATAATCTTTCAAAATTTACTTTATCCTGGTTATGCCTGGTTAACAGACTTTTACTGTATGTAAATATCAACATACAGTTCATATTAATTTATATGTTGGGTATATTCTTTAAATAAATTTACTAATTTAATATAATAAGTAAATTTTAAAAATAAAAGTATTAAAATTTCTATTATTGATAAAAAATTTTTGAGAGAAATTTATTAAAATTAACTTCTTATGCTGAAATTGTTTAATTTTTCGATGAAAATAATCCTTTTATAAACTGTCTCTGTTGATAAAGAATCATGAAGTATAAAAACATTTTAAATGGTTAATAAACTTTTTTTTTGAATTTAGCAAGACTTCTTCCTAACTGTCCAAAACCTGAAAGACCAACCAGAGAAGGAGTTAAAAAAGAAGCAATTGAATCAGGTCTTGCCGCTGCTGCAGCAAAGTTAGCAGATATGCCAGTGAGTTTTTACTTTATTGAATTGTTTTTACTAATTGAACTTCTGTTCTTAACTGTTGAACATTTATGTAATTTAAAAAGTCTTCACTTTGTTTAAAAATTTTTTAATCATATTTTTAACTTGATGTGATTTTGTTTATGATAGTATGACAGCATTATATATAATGGTTATATATTGCAGTTAGTACATAATCTTATAAATGTTCATAAATTTATAAATAATAATAATCCTATCTGTAGTTGATATCTTGTAATGTGAGGGTTTTTATTTTTCAAAAATATTAATTTAAATTTTCCCTAGAGTTTATATTAATATTACAGCAAATATATGTATCAGAAAAGAATACCAATTGGAAATTATAAATTAAAACATCATATTAAACTAGTAGCCCGGGACGCTCCCTAGTGGGCATTCTTTACAAATTTCCATGAGGCATTTTTTGTTCCTATCAATATGCTCTACAGCTCCGTTAAAGTCCCAATGGTAAGATTTACCCTCCGAATGAAGGGGTGGCACCCCCCCAAACTGTAGCCCCCCTGTGCGAACAATAAAGTCAAAGAGACCATACCCCTACTCGTGACCTTTCACGAGATATAAGCCCCTGAAAATTCGACTACGTAATTTCCGGTCACGTGACACTGTGGTCAAAAGGGAGCCTATCGTGTGAAAAAAAAAATTAACGCGTGCTCGCACACAGGGGGTCGCCAACCCGCTCGTTCGCAGGGTAAATTGTGGCAAACAGACAGTCACATGATCCGTAGAATAATTTTCGGAGGGCTATATCTCGGGAAGGGTTGCATGTAGTTCATTAGACATTTATTGTTTGCACAGAGGGGGTCGTCACCCCTTCATTCGGAGGGTAAATCTTATTATCCCAATCACGTCATATGGATCTATATTTCTACCTTTAAACATTCTCTATAAATACTTTAAAATAGTTTAATTTGTTTATTTACCTTTGCTTGTAAACCTTGATTTTAAATGTATCCGCCATTTTTTCAACAAATTTCCTGTGAGTCAATGCTCACTGAGTCACGGGATGTTGTAAACGTGTGGCGCAAGGTTAATCAAGGCATATAATAATTATTTATACCATTCTGTGGTATCAATAATAAATTCCTATTACAAATAAAAATAATTTATTGTTAATTTAAAATCATCGCTAGGGTGCCTTTAGTGCTTGTTTTTTGACATACCATTATGCAACAGATACCCGTTCAATGGGTTATATATATAGATTGTTATTAACTAGAAAGTTTATTTTAATGATTTGCATAAATTAATTTCTTAGAAACATACATACTCTATTTTTAAAGTATAATAACAACGGAATAGATGGATTAACATTGATTTAGTAGGTTTATGATATTTCTTATACATATACATGTATATAGCATTCAGATGATGAATTTTAATTATTTTTTAATAAGAGAGACACAATCTAAATTATGAATAGGAAAAATTATATACAAACAGACAAACATTGAAATTTTGAGACTTTAATTAAGCTAATTACATTACTTTGTAATCTATTTGAAATATCATTATTTTATAAATATAAATTTAAACTATACAGTATATATGTAGTATAAGTTTTTATAACAGATTTCATTTGTTAATAAATTTAATAATAACTACAAAACTATTTTAATATACAATACATAAATGTTAAAATCATTAAAATTATATTTCTCACTTACAACCATTTCCAGTTCCAAATTGCTCTACATAACTTCCAGTTCCAAACAGTTTTGCAGTTACTTCTAAATAGTTAGTCACAATTAATATGTGGAACTTCCAGTTTCAAATATTAATTTATATAATCCTAGATCATTGTCACATAATTCATTGATAGATAATATTTGTTTTACAAATTCTGTGCTGAAAATTAAGGATTCAGTCTCTCATTGAAAATAATGATTTCTTTTGATCAGATTTGATATTGATTTTAAAACAATGAATTTTGTTTGTTGTTTGAATACTGAAAATATGAAAAAGTAATACTGATTTTTTTATACTTTTGTAAAAAATTTATTTTAATTTATCATTATTATTATTTAGCCCCTTAAAAGACAGTATCATAGAAAAAGACCAATGCAAATGAAAATGAAAGATATGGATATTCAGTCAGGTCCGTCTACTTCCAGCTTTAGCCAAAAAAGATCTTTGCCAGCAAATGATCTTTATAAATGTAAGTTAATAATTTTATATTTATAATTATAAGTTTATAAGTTCACTTTCTAGGATACATGTGATATATATAAGGAAGTCTACTTTCTCTGGCTTGACATATACACTAGACAGCCTACTACCTGATGCATTGGACAATGTCTCAGTTTTCTCTGTAACTTCTATTAATTTCATTTTTGTTGATATTGATAAAGAAGCAATAAGCTACAATTTGTCATTTATAATATAGGTGTCAAATGCATGTATTACTTTCTATAAAATAAATTCTTTGAGTATAATTTTCTGATCGAATAGGCTTGATATAAGTATTTGAAAAAATTAATAAGAAAGAAATCAAAGATTCATTTATGCTCATTGATTCCCATATTTTTTGTTTAAAAAATATGGGAATGAATTTATTTCTTTATAGAAAGAAATATGATTGAACACATCTAATTTCCATAATAAATTGCACAGTCATAAAAATGTCACATATTCTTATAAAAGTTAAGAGTAACAGTAGAATTATGAAAGATTGTTGAAGACATAGTTATAAAGAGCTTTAGGAAATGTTATCATCAAGAACTTGGACAGAGCAGAGGATGATGTGCTGTTTAAGGAAGCTGAAAACTATGATGACAGTGAAATAGGAAACAGGAATGATGACACTGATAGTGAAGAAGTATTGTTTCAATGACTTTCCAAATTTTTTAATGCAAATTTCTAATTTTTTGTATGCAAATAAAATTAATAATGAAAAAGTCAACTTATATTTGGGTCCTAATTTTCTTCAAAAAGTAAGGATTCTAAAATTGGAAGTAGATGTATATTTGGGCCAATAAAATACTTTACACATAATTATAGGATCTACACATAAGTTTGAGTATGCAAAACTCACATGATTTGGTGATAACAATGCTGTTTGCAATGCAAAATTGTATAATAGTAATTTACAAATACTGAAGGGTTTACAAACAACAATTAACACCTCAATACCACTTCCAGCAGTCAAAAGATTTTAATAATCTAACGTTTTCGGCCGTCTTTTAGAGGCCCTCCTCAGGATGAAACATTAAAAAACAGTTCTATCTTTTGAAGGATTCTAATAATCGAATACAGCTGTGTTCCGAACTTTTAAATATTTAAACGATGCATACGATATAAAAATCGTTACGCTTACAACACAAAAAAATTATTATTTTAAAATAACGCTATACATAAATTAATATTGTAGAGTTGTGAAAATTAGTGCGGTGTAAACGATTTGTTATAACTTTATAACTTATAACATTATAGCTTGTTGGGACAACATATCTCCTCCAGAATACTTCCGCAAGGCTTTCGAATTTGGTCCTATGTTCGTGCCTCAGTCGGCTGCACCAAACCCGTTTTCCTTCATTCCCAGAATAGAGAAATTACTATCCAGAGCAAATATTGAGTTTCCGGACACCTGCAAGGACTATCTTCGATGGAAAGCGTTGATGGCAATTGAAAGTTACAAGCCGGAACCTGAAGTACATAAGTTCTGGAGTTACGTCAAACACAGTTAGAAATGGCTCCAATCTAATAACATCACAATGGTCAAATCTGATAAAAGCGAGGAAGTCGGCATCATGCTAAGGGCAACCTATGTCAGCGCATTACATCAATATATAGTTGACACGCAATGTCAACCCGCTGACACCTCATACACAACGAGGCTGCAAAGTCGTGTCGGTAGATTCACGCGCACTGGCCTTGCCACAATCTTAGGCCTTCAAAATTCGGTAGTTAGCTCCCCTGACACCCCCCGCCTTTTCGCTTTTGTCAAAACACATAAACCCGGGCATAAATTAAGACCTGTGATCGATAAAGCCAGATCTCCACTTTCATATTAGAGAAACGTATACATCACTTGTTGCAAAATCATCTTGACTCATATGGCTTGACTGTGTCCAATTCCAACGCACTACTCGCCAAACTCCACAATTTAAAGTTAAATGGGAACGAATATCTTACTGTATTCGATTTTGTATCGATGTTCCCTTCCATTCATTTGGAACCATGTTTTTGCGCGCTAAGAGATTTCTTTCTCACTACTACACCTGACAGCCAGAGATTCCATTCCCAAATACTAGAGCTTACACATCTAATATGCTATTCCTCCTTTTTTTACTTTGATGGTCAAACTTACATCCAAAAAAGGTGCGTACCAATGGGTAGCCCAGTCTCTGGGGATCTGTACGAACTCGTCGTACGAAAATTAGAAGAAAAGGTCTTACTAAGCTTTCAATCCAATATCCTTAGCTACATGCGGTACGTGGATGATATTTTGATTATTTGGAAAACCAAACCTGATATAGAGAAAGTGTTAGAAGCCTTTAACAAAAACGCCTACGGCTTAACACTAAAGTTAGACCAAGAAAGTCGCACAGAAGTTAACTACTTAGATGTCCAGATTAACACAGCAAATAAAAATATAACCACGACCATTTACCGCAAACCAACGTACTGTCCTCTCTTTATACCTGTTAACTCAGCGGACCCATGGCCGTATAAAGTATCAGCTTTTCGGGCCCTAGTCTCAAGGGCTTATTCCCACTGCTCTGATAGTTCCGATATCTACAGAGAAGTGAAAAACATCAAACGTATAGCATCGGCACATGGGTACCAACAGTCCTTAATAGACAGGCTTACTACCAATCAGCAATCTACAATAGCTACCACCAACACGGGGACTAATGATACACAGCACAAACGGGTGATTTTATCGTATGAACCATCCCTTCAACAAATTTTTAGTAAAATCGCTAAGGAATGTGCGCTTAACATATAAGAGAAAGCAGAATATTTTCCAACTTTTATCTAATGCTAAGGACAAGTCCGATGATAAAAAAGCGCTGGGGGTGTACCGTATACCTTTGAATGACGAATGTTTCAATCGTCAGATAACATACATTGGATCCACATACAGATCCCTGGAGGCTAGAGTACGGGACCACAAATATGATGTGTCGAAGCAGAGGTATAGTACTGCTCTAGCACAGTATGCTACCGAACCCGGGGTTTCCCCGTGTTGGGATGAGGCTACTCTTTTACATAAGGCCTTCGACCGACATGACTTACGCTTGTTGGAGGCTATTGAGATTTATATAGAAACCATGAAGGGAAACTGCATCAACTCCGATTATATTCTGATTCCACAATCATGGAAATATTATTTACATTGCCACAAAGCACAACAATAATCGGAAGTGTAATTATTTTTAATCTTTCTGCGTTGTATAAAAAAACAAAGCGTTTACATCACGCTTATTTTCACAACTATATAATAATAATTGATGTATAGCAGTATTGTAAAACAAATCGTTTACACCGCACTAATTTTCACAACTCTACAATATTAATTTATGTATAGCGTTATTTTAAAATAATAATTTTTTTGTGTTGTAAGCGTAATGATTTTTATATCTTACGCATCGTTTAAATATTTAAAAGTTCGGAACACAGCTGTATTCGATTATTAGAATCATTCAAAAGATAGAACTGTTTTTTAATGTTTCATCCTGAGGAGGGCCTCTAAAAGACGGCCGAAAATGTTAGATTATTAAAATCTTTTGACTGCTGGAAGTGGTATTGAGGTGTTAATTGTTGTTTGTAGTATATCGTTTCAGTTCACATGTGTTAATTTTTTGTCTGAAGGGTTTAGTATTTAATATTTATGGAGATTGTTTGCAGGTGTTACTAACACAGTTTAGAAGAATGCCATCAGTACTTTTAATAGATAGATTACATTAATTTTAAAGTTAATAAGATTTAGGCAACATTTTCAAATAGGATAATCTAAAATAAATAAGTGTCATTCTGTATAAAAACCAAATATATCATTCATGTTTCTTGTATGTAAAGTGATCTAAAAGTCAGTTTACTGGAATATATTTTTAATGTTATTTTAAGAACAGTCAAAACCAGTTTACAACAGCACATAGTTTTTATTATGATTCAGTCACTTCATTGGAAATATATTTTGGTTACCTGGTTTTTAGACCACACTGTACATATGATATATGAATAATAGTATAAGTTTATTATATATAATAACTTTGATAATTTTAGTAACAATAATTGATTTTTTTTTTTAGCCAAAAAGCCAAAGAAAGGTCTAGCTACAGCCAAACAACGACTAGGAAAGATATTAAAAATTCACAAGATGTTATATTGAACTACACTACATTTAACTAACCCACAACTGCCAGTTAATTGTGCCTAAGTCGCGACTCGGTGCTGTCAACAGTTTCTAAAGTATCCTCCATCAGACGTCATTTCTGGATGTTCCAAAATAGTAATATGTTGCATCATGCTGTGCATAGTATTATCTTAGTACCTTACATATGTATTCATGTAAAAAATGTGTTCACTTTTAAAATATTTATTTTTTATGGCATGTCATTGCAAAAGAGGACAATTGATATACTCAGTGATAGTTTTTTAATACTAAATTATTTAAAATAGTTTTATTCACTTAAAATTTCTTGGGGGGAGGGAAAAATTGTTTATCTCAAGGATCTGCAAATATGAAAATTTTAAATTTATGAAATTCCTTTTGAATATTTTAAGGTATAATTCTGATTTTTAATTATAAATCAGTTGTATGTGTGTGTGTATATATATATTTACATATTATATATATATAATTATTATTATGATTTTCATGCTAGTATATCTGTGATAACTGTCTGTTCATACATTTTGTCAATCAGATGTGATTCTGTGCCATCTCTACAACTCATTAACACCAAAAAACAAATTTATCATAATGTGCATAGTACATCTCATTATTATAATTGATAAGATATTAAAAGAGAGGAAAACTTGAAATTTGCATCAAATTATCATATGTATATAACATAGAAGTTTTATTAGACGTGGCTGTGGTGTTTATTTAACAATTAACCATATGGAATGTATATATTTATGTAATTGTGTTTTACATATTCTACAAAAGAACTTTTGCTATAGTTTCATTTGTTGTATGTACTATATGGAAAATATGCACCCGTTTTATACGATAGGGGATTTACATTTGCTTAAAAGCTCGTATGCAAAATGGTTTTCACATTGCAACGATCTCTTTTAAGTCTCATAATTTCTCTTCTTTATAAATTTGTATGATTTTTTTTCTCGGTATTGTCATATTTACTGTCATATTGTTAGTTTTGTGTTTTTATTTTCTCTTTCGGTAAGCCTTCAAGATGCTTTCTTTTAAAAATATGTTGTTTTTTCCCTTGTTTTATCCAGATTAAATTGAATATAATGGTGCAAAAAAAAGAAAAACAAGCACTTTGCACTGAAGTCTAAATAAAAAATTTACTATTATTTTTTAAACTGGATATAAAATGCTTATCTTGATTTGTTTCTTATTTAAATAAATAAACCAGTTAAAAATAAATGTCAACAAAATTGCTAGTTTTAAATTCAATATTCTCTTAAAAATCCGAAAATCATTTCTCATTTTTATAAAATTTTATGAAAATTCTGTTATTTCTTTTTATTTTATTATTATTATTATTATCATCAGTAAAAGATTCTCCAATCTGAAATTTTAAAAAATAATAAATAAATCTAAGGAAATTATTTAATGAAAATCAGATTATTAAATTAATCTGATTTTATTAATTTATTGATAACATTTTTTCGTAAGCCACTTTGTTAAAATTAGCGATTTTAAAAAATTAAAATAAATTTTTAATTGCATTTTTTTTTCTTTACTTTCTAAGAAGAAAATGTAGATATTGTATTTTATAAATATGAATAAAATTGAAATAGTAAATGATTAAGTAAGTATTATTTTGAGAATACTAATTTAATGTCAAAAGCCACATTGGACTGGAAATCTAACATTCCATAAACCTATGTTTTCAAAGGGATTAAAACTAAATTTTTTATTTTATGAAAATTTTTAAAAGTGAGTTTGTCCCACAAACTCACCTTTAAAAATGTGAGTGTGGTACAAACTCACTTTCAACTTAGGAAAGAATATATAAAAGTATTGGTATATATGTTATATAGTAGTGGCATTACATTGACTCATAAATACAAATTATGCTTCAGTAAAACAAAACATACAGAAATACATATATAAATTTCGTTTTGTCATTAAAAAGTTATTTTTTTAATCATTTTACAGAGATCTTTTCCAGAAGAAATAAGCGCACAAATGTTTTAAGTTAATTCTGTATAAGACAATTTACCAACAAATTTTAATTTAATTGTTTTTTTGCTAAATATATTAGTTTTTAATTTGATGCAAAAATACAGTAATTGAGATTTAATATAAAAATGAAGAAAGCGTACGATAATAGGACGTCATTCCACAATGACTAATGGTCTGTGGTCGTGATTTGCGTTCAAAACTACAATTTTTGCTCCAGAACTGAAAAAAATTGATATACACTGTGTTCTAAATCCGTGGAAACATTCGTATAAAACAAAACAAACAAACAAAAAAAAAACGGATTGATAAACAGTAATGTAATGTCCAAACACATGATATAGGCAACGGGAAACCTGTTAACTGCCATATTGATGGTTCACGCGCATTCTTTTATTCCGCAATGCGCTGAGCAGTTGCTGCCTGAAATGACGTTTTTGCTGGAGAAAGAGCTATCTCAAAATGGCTGATATAAACAATGATTTTTTTTCTGCTATATTTACACGCGTTTGTTCAATATTATTAGAAGAAAAGCTATTAAGTTCGATGTTGTTTATAAGAAAACGAGGAAATGATTTATTTATGGCATTGGCGATGACTGATTCCCAACAACGAGGAAAGCGTGCAAAATCATTGGTTACGTTCACGATATCGTAACGCAGTATTAGAATGAAATCTTTAAATTTTCGTATGTCACGATTAAAAATCTGCTTATTTAAAACAGCAAAAAACTGATTATTATTTGGTAGTCGAAAAAGATACTTTTTCAACTGGCGTCTAATTACAGAACGATTCCGTAGCCGTAGTTCTGGGTTTTACCACGAGATGCCGCTAGTGTCGTGACGTTAAGATAGCGAATACTTCGTACTGGGCCCTTAAGTTTGTTTTATGCTAAAATAAACGGTTTTTTGTAAGATACGTGTCATCTGTGTCTCCTCCGCCACACCCACACGAGAACGCCGCTAGATCATCCTGACGTGGGATTAATGATCCCTAAAAGTCGGTAACGTATATTAGTCCGAGAAGTGGGATTTTAAGTCCCCAATCTCCACCAAATCAGCAACTTACATTAACGTAATTTTATTCATTGTCAAGATATAAATGATTTAATTTGTTTCGAGGGGATACAGGTACTAGTTGAGATGTTGGTCGCCAGGGCGGCGCCACCATCTGGGATAAAGATTCACAAGTACCGATTTTTTTTCTATACGGATGACATGAATGTATCTTTGAGTTCTTCACATGCGTCTTAATCATAAAAGTTCACGATCCTGGAAGCGAGAAACATTGCTTAACGACATTTATTAAAATTTACATTTTCTTAATAATAATTCCACTTACCATTTCGTAATACATTTCATTTAACGCAATTTTTATCTCGAAAATTTTGTTCTTCATAACAGAATTTTAAAAATATTTCTTCTATTTTCTGTATTAACTCTTCGTCTTTTCGTGTTCCTGTCGTTATACGGATACTCGATGAATTTACAGGACGTTATAAACAATGAACACATTTTGTTAAAATTAGCAGGAATAGGATTCAAGTCATCAATGACTTAAAGCAGTGTTTCTCAACGGGGGCGATATCGCCCCCATGTGGGCGTTTTTCCATGTTCAGGGGGCGATTAGCAACAATTATATTTTGGGGGCGAAAAACAATTTTCTGGGCGATAAAGTAAAACGTTATATTAAGAATAATTAGATGTTTTATTCGTTATATCGTACAATAATTGAACAAATAACATTATACTAGTCACTAGTCTATTCAATGCAGTATGAATTTGGCGTTAGCCTTATCCCCCGGCGTCGGAATTTTGTATTGAAGGTGGGCGATACTACGTAACGGTTTTATTTAAGGGGGCGATACTGCGTCGAAGGGGGCGACGATTCGTTAGAGGTTGAGAAACACTGACTTAAAGGAAAGAAAAAGTCCAAATGTCAATAAAACATTTTAAAATATTTGTTTTTCAAAGTTTGTTTTAATTTTTTTTGTAGTATTTTTTAATATTTTAAAATGTAGAACAAACGACAAAACAAATAGAAAAAATACGTAATCCCAACTTCTAATATTTATAACAAACCTTTTAACTATGTAATCCTATATTTTTAATGTGCTTGTATCGTTACTTATTCATATACAGTAGACCCCCCTATAACACGGGTTCCTATAGTTATGATTCCTATATTACGGCGAAAAAATTTCGACAGTATTCGTACAAACATGCTAAAAAAAACTCCTATAATTCGGTAAAACGTCGTCGCTGACTCGTGTCGCGACAGGATTGGTCGAATCTGGACCAATAGTGGACGGGCAGCCGAACTACTTTCCGCTGTCCAGCGCCACGTTACGGAGAGTTTAGGCGGGTAAGTTGAGTTTACTATCGTCTGTATAGTATATAAATTAGGTACTTAAATTAAACAAAATTAACAAGTTAATTAATATTAATATTAAATATCAATAAAATTAATAAATTAAACAAAAGTTTAATAGGTAGAAAATATGTATTGATAAATATTTATACATTTTTTGTGAAAAAAACATTTCTTATTCAACGGCCATAAAAATTATTTCTATTAATGATGTCTCCAAAGTTCAGCGAATTTTTCGCAGAAAAATAACTTATCAGAAAACTTTCGTCATGCGAGACATTCCAATTTTCAACGCTGACTCAGCGCTGATCTCAACATTCGTTAAAAGTCGTTCCTTTTTTTCAATGTTGAAGTGGCGCTTTTGTCAGCGCTGTCTCAACACACTCAGCACGCAACAGATATGTTGACTGCTACTTTCCAATGAATTGTGGGTAATTGGTACTACATTATGGGAATTATGGGAACTAAGCACTTCGTACTCGAGTTGGAACGTCGTTGATGACGTCAAATTGTTGACTTCAACATTCAACACTCGCGTTGAAAATTGGAATGTCCCGATCGCTTAAGCTTGTTTTCGTCGCGGAGCGGCACTCCGCGACGAAAACAAACTTAAGCAATGACGTCGTCGAACGGTACAGTAAGTAATCCTACAATTTCTTGTCTATAGCATAGTTTATATGGATTATTTTCAAAAAATTATACGTATTTTGGAAATGTTGAGTCAAATTAGTCTAGAATCGATTAATTTTAAGGAAGAAAACCTTTCAAACAGCCATAGTCCCTAAACTGCACAAGTGTCGGGCTGTGATTGGTTCATGTATTTAAGTGACTCGTACAACACAGAAATCACATAACACGGAACGTATCTACCGTGTTATGGGGGGGGTCGACTGTACTAACAAAAATAAAATGATTATAACCTATAACAACATACATGCATGTTTACAATGCAAAAACAATACAATACATTACAATACAGTAGGTGATCGGTTAACGAACATAATCCGTTCCCAGGCTTTGTTCGCTATCCGAATTGTTCGTTAACCGATCACCCACTGTACATGCAAAAAATTAGTTTACTACTATTCCTGAGTCATTGTTTTTTCAAAAAGATTATTTCGCGTACAAATTTTTCGGTATCGGGATTAATCATGATTATTGAACGAAAGAGAGAGAGAAAGATGTAATCAAATTTGTTAAAACGCCAATTAATGCATGAAGAATCCTGTCAAAAGAAACCTCATCTACCCGATCAGTGTTTTGCTCGAAATTGCTATGCACTTCCTGAGAAAGTATCAACTTACGCTTTCTCAGAGTCGATAGTGATACCTTTCTCGCATATTTTAGTCACCTCTAAGGTATTTGCCGCTTTGAATATGACGAGGAACGATCGATTCCAGTCAGTCGTCGCTCGTTCTTTCAACTGTTCAGTTTAGTGTGTTTGTGTGTCTTTTTGGATTAGTGTGCTCTTCTGTGCCCTCAGATTCCTCGTCATCCCTCTACTTGCTGCTTCTCTCCCGAATTGCTAATTGAAGAAATACATTCTGAAGATCTTCAACAGAGAAGGCCTGTGAGGTACCAAAAATTTGTAATCTCTCTCTTTCCGCGAAACGTGAATACCCTGTGAAACGTGTTGTGCCAACTTTCGTACCCTTTAATAAATGTTCAAGTGTAGTAAATTATGTTGCGTGAATCAATTCCAACTGAATCTTCTTTCCTTCCTATTTAATGGTTTCATGGAACGACCAAAAATGGCAGTTGGCGAAGAAATTGCACGAAACTCTGACCTTTCCTACAGAATACAAAAATATAAAAATAATTTTATTAATGATAAGATAATGATAACAATTTAAAATNCTATCCGATCGGTATATACCGGCTTGAGCGTAGATTTCGACGTCTCCCACACTCCGAAAAGTTTCGAATTGTTGCCCGAAGACAAGGAAAGTCCAATCGGTATTCGATATTTTACGTCGCTTCTTCTTGTGTTTGTTCTTTGGGGTGTTCGTTATCCGATCATGTACTCGTTGTCCGAACATAAAAATCTTTCGCAAAAGTGTTCGTTATCCGATTTGTTCGTTGTCCGATCTGTTCGTTAACCGATCACCCACTGTACATGCAAAAAATTAGTTTACTACTATTCCTGAGTCATTGTTTTTTCAAAAAGATTATTTCGCGTACAAATTTTTCGGTATCGGGATTAATCATGATTATTGAACGAAAGAGAGAGAGAAAGATGTAATCAAATTTGTTAAAACGCCAATTAATGCATGAAGAATCCTGTCAAAAGAAACCTCATCTACCCGATCAGTGTTTTGCTCGAAATTGCTATGCACTTCCTGAGAAAGTATCAACTTACGCTTTCTCAGAGTCGATAGTGATACCTTTCTCGCATATTTTAGTCACCTCTAAGGTATTTGCCGCTTTGAATATGACGAGGAACGATCGATTCCAGTCAGTCGTCGCTCGTTCTTTCAACTGTTCAGTTTAGTGTGTTTGTGTGTCTTTTTGGATTAGTGTGCTCTTCTGTGCCCTCAGATTCCTCGTCATCCCTCTACTTGCTGCTTCTCTCCCGAATTGCTAATTGAAGAAATACATTCTGAAGATCTTCAACAGAGAAGGCCTGTGAGGTACCAAAAATTTGTAATCTCTCTCTTTCCGCGAAACGTGAATACCCTGTGAAACGTGTTGTGCCAACTTTCGTACCCTTTAATAAATGTTCAAGTGTAGTAAATTATGTTGCGTGAATCAATTCCAACTGAATCTTCTTTCCTTCCTATTTAATGGTTTCATGGAACGACCAAAAATGGCAGTTGGCGAAGAAATTGCACGAAACTCTGACCTTTCCTACAGAATACAAAAATATAAAAATAATTTTATTAATGATAAGATAATGATAACAATTTAAAATATATTAAATGTATGTAATCAAATATTACACAGAATATTAAAATTATTTAAATTTTAAAACAATAATCAAATTATTAAAATGTGTTCAATATAAATTCTTTAATTTGGAAATAAATTTCTTCCAAAATAAACACATATGAATAATGACAAATGGTAAACACTAAATTCACAGATAATTTAAAATTAATAAGCAATATTAAAACATTAGGTTAGTAATTTTACAGATAACATTTAAACTTCATCAACTATATTATGAAAACAAAAATTAATTTTGTATTGTAAAAATTTATTTCGTGCATAGTATAAAATATGTAAATATTGGATCAAAATATGATTGTGGTTGAATGTTTCGTAGGAAATTACAATTATTTTATAAATCAAAACTAAAATAGTGTCATAAAATAGTTTCTAACTTCTTTTTTATATTCTGAGGTCAGTCAATTCATCTCCAGATAAACATTCACAATCACTTCTCGATCTTCGCATTTATTCAGTTCAATTAAGTTTTCAATTTTATTGCTTTTCCCATTGTTTTCTAAAAATAATAATTTCATACATTAAATTCTATTTTTCTAATTAAAAATTATAAAAACTACTCCGTTAACTATATATAAAGACTTTGAGCTTGTATGCAGTAAAACAACGCATTTTCCTGTGTACAAACTCCTGTAATTTCACGTGATGTCAAATATATAATAAATATATAATTTACGTAATAAATATAATATAATAAAACCAAATGTAAATTATACGTAAACATTTAAAACTGAATAACCTATTTCAATAGTAGCACGACGTCGTATTCTATTTCCCACACGACAAGAACACTCACTTGTTATGCCACGCTATTTATTGATATGAAGAATTAAATATGTTAATACACTTCTTTTATTTATAGCCTATAAATAATTCTATTTGTTTCTTAAAAAAGAGAAACAATGTATTAGGATTTCTTAAATTTATTATATTTCCTTCCAAGATAGAATTTTATGAACAACATCAAAAAGTAGACACATGGAGATTGAAATTGTAATTTTAATAACGGTTTCTGGTATTAAATGTCTAAATCAAAAACAATCTTGGCACCAGAGCCTCTTTGGCCATCATTCGACGATCGGTCGAATAATGTTACCACTTCCCGGGACGTGGACCCAGAGGTTGGATTTTGGGAAGCGTGTTCGTGTTGTCAGTTATGTAATTTACAGAGCTTGTGAATGGAAAGTGGGTGGATGGATGCGACGACTGTGTTGTTGTTGGAACCGTGTGTGTTACCGTGAGGGGTGTTGTTATTTTAGCGATTGGATGTAAAGCGTTAGTATAACAAGGGGGAAAAAAATTAAAAAACCCCTTGCCGTCTTAAAACTAGGTTAGTACTTAAAGGCTAATGAAAATAAATTAAACTAAAGAGATGATAAAAAATAATTAGTCTGCAAAAACTTACTTCGTATTATCTCTTTAGCTTAATTTACTAGCGTTAGTATAACAAGGGGAAAAAAAATTAAAAAACCCCTTGCCGTCTTAAAACTAGGTTAGTACTTAAAGGCTAATGAAAATAAATTAAACTAAAGAGATGATAAAAAATAATTAGTCTGCAAAAACTTACTTCGTATTATCTCTTTAGCTTAATTTACTAGCGTTAGTATAACAAGGGGAAAAAAAATTAAAAAACCCCTTGCCGTCTTAAAACTAGGTTAGTACTTAAAGGCTAATGAAAATAAATTAAA